CATTTGGTCTATTTAAATCCTGCCTGTTATTGGTTAACTAATGTTTACAGAGCGCTGAGAGGACAGTGAGCAAATCAAATCTTTGGCGTCGCCTCTCTCCATTGGATATGGCTCTGTGTGAGTGACTGATCACATTCGGTCGGAGTTTGTCCGGTTCACGTTCACGACCTGAAGACTTGACGGCAGCAGCTGAGAAGGTAAAGGCTCTTTCTTCACTTTCCTAAACACAGAGACGTATTTCATTTCAGTTGAGGTAATGGTTGTTATCTGTCTCTACAGGAACAAACAAAATGTGTTGCACAACCTCACATTTAAATATAAAGTGATATCTGTGTGAAGGGAAAGAACTTCAAGGCCACATCCTTGACTCTGAGCTAAAGTTCAGCTGACGACACGTGTTCCGCCGCCAGACGAGATCAAAATACGAAGCGGGAGAACATTTTAAAACTTAAAAACGATGCACTTTACATGTTCTGAACAATGGTGTCCTGCGTAGAGGCATTGTTTCTCAGCCTGCTTAATCTATACTGCTACAGATAAAGACTCGGAGAAAAACAGGAATTATTTTTGGTCCAAGGATGAATCCATGACATTGGCGTAATGGGGCCTAAAATAACCTCCCTGGTGCATTCCAGGAAGGTGGACAGTCACTCTGTAAGCAGAAATGCCCATGAGAGAGCCATGGGTGGTGGACTGTACTTTGTATGTGCTGCTTTTTACAATCTTTAGAGGTGTTGGTCAGGTTTGGAAACGGGTTTGCGTCTGTATCCAGTCTGTAGGCGAAGCTTAACCACCCAAATCCAACAACACATACACACTACTAACCCGTGTAGCTGTTTTCCAAAAATGTCTAATGGTTGAATTTCTCCATGACGGATAAACTATTCATACACAGCCCAAGACCTAAATGAAAATTTAATGCAGCCACTTCCAGAGTGATCTGATCTGTTGAGTCAGTGGTTTATCTGAGCAGCTACATGGGTTTAATGAGGTAAAGAGGAAAGAGGTGGCTTTGGCAGAGCTGAGAGCAGTTTGAAAGCAACAGTAACTGCATCCGGCCACGTCTGAAGCTCAGTAATTAACATGCTGTGTCTTGATTGGTTCGGTCATCCGTACACAAGTGGGCAGCCGAGATACATGTTCACACGCTTCTGCCACGTGTGTCCAAGGCGTCCAGCTGTGTGTTCGCATCTCGTTATTGCCTGTGTCGCTGGAGCCAGAGGGTCAAAGGTTCAGTGTGCCACCGACTAGCCAGCAAAATAAACATGATTTGAGTAATTAATTGTCTTTTCAAACTTTGAGGTAGTCATTGGGACTCGCCTGACAACAGCCACCACGTCTTGCATTAGTGACATATTGTCCTGTGTACGGGGGAATAAGGTAGACTTACCTCCACAATAAAGATAATTACTGCATTAATTAAAATGATCAAAACCGACCTTTAAATTACTCGTATAATCTCCAAGTCAGCACAATAATTCTAACAAACTGTTCAGTCCTGGTGATCGGTCACGAGTGCTTTATAACGTCATAATTCCACTTTAGCCAGGGAGTTAGATTTAAATTTCTATAACTGTAAAAATCGGATATGTAAAGTGATTGAAAGTACGCTATAGAAAACACAAGAAACAACTGTATACGCACAAAGCATTTACTGCTAACTACACCTGCTACGTCCTGGCTGGGTGTACATCAGGGCACGTTCATGGTTACACTATTGAATACATGTGGTCTCATGCATCCAAATCACCTAAATGTGTACTGGTGGTCGTTTACATGTGTCCACTTGTGACTGATTGTGCAAGACGCCACATTTTAACACCACATGTGAGTACGGACGAACCCTCCATCCTTCCTTCACAATGTTTCTGAAGCTCAGTGCAACTGCAGACCGTCCTATGACAGCACCCACCTCTAACTCAAAACAGTCACGTTCTGATTACGCATCATTTTAAGCCTTAATACAATTTAAACAAATGAGTTCTATAAAACAAGAATCACCTGCCGTGAAGTTGTCATGAATGTGGAACTGTCTTGTACCAGACTGTTTGTTTCTGCAGTAGAGTTAAGCATTTGACTAGCTTTTGGAGCCAGCCTCAAGTGGCCATTTGAAGAACTGCAGCTTTTGGTGCTTTGGCTTCATTTTTCAGGCCCAGAGGTTTGGTGTCAGCGGCGTCTGACGGGGTGGTGGCGATATGGAGGGAGGTACTCACTAAAACAACAACACACCATGTAGGAGCCGTATGTGTGACGTGTGAGGTGTGTGGCGTGTGGTTGGTGGCCGTGTCATGTTTGGTTTTGATTATGAGGAGTGCGCTCACCTGGGCACGGCGGTTGGCATTCAGAAGTTTGGAGGCAGGGTGAGCGTGTGGTGACAATTTTTGTTGACTGTAGTTTCTTTGTGCAAAGAGTTTGTACTCATTTCTTTGCACAGTTTAACATGTTTAGTATCCTTGTTTGTTCATTATTTACATTTCATGAGCAGAAATGCCATGCAATTGTAACAAAGCAAAATAAACAGAACAACAGGAAGTGCATTGGACGTTTGGTCTGCGCGTCTTCAATTCTTCTACACACTGAGCCTGCCACGACTTCGATAGGTTAATCTGGTAAACTGACAATTAGCCGCAGTACACCATACAGCAACACCAAAACCTGCTCACTGCTAGCTGAGCTCAACCGGCTCTGGCTTTACATTTAGCACAGGGACATGGGATCTATGATCTTATTTAACACATCTCCCAATATGTCAAACTATTCCTCTAAGCACTAGATCGCCCGGTGTAATATCCATTTCTCTGTCTCAAATACATTCAGTTGCAGATGCAGTGTTGATCCAACATTCAGTCCCATTGCTGTTGTGGGAGATTCTAGGTGTGGTGCTCACCTGTAGGAAGAAACGTTCATTAAAGACAAGAGAAACAAAGGTTTTGCTTCATTATTTTTTCGCTGAGGCCTCGACAGAAGTTGTTGCAACACTTAAAAGAATATCAGTTCCTTCTGATTGAGGAAGAGTGACAGGGCCGCAGGATTTTATCTCCTCCAAGAGGAAGTGTTAAATACAGCGAGTGGCTGCAGTCCAGATGGTGCAGAGCGTGGTAAATAAATAAAAGGGCAGTGAAACGTGTTGTTTCTGCAGACACACTACCTCTAGTTATGAGTTTCTCTTTAGCACATGTTTATTTCCAACTGCCTCCCCACCAGAGCAAAAGCCACACCAGCGAGCAGACACTTCATCTATGATTCAGACGATACGACGGTGAATTATTTATTCTGCCACAGTTAAGTCTGGCTGCACTCGTGTTGGACTTTCACTCGGAGAGATCTTGAGCATAAACATGGAAAAGTGAGTTCAGAGAGAGTGTTGGAGATTCTGTTCAGCCGCGGCCACATTCAGGCACATTTCAACAAAAACCACACATTGGGTAACGGTATTTGCATATTAAGTCAGATAACGAGCTGTAGCTTACGATAGGTGAAAGGCAAGAATCCACAATCAGTTTTCATGGAAATTGTTGGTTAGAGGTTGTGTGGTGATAGATTTTATCAGACAGTCTCTGGTGAGCTTCTTCCCTGAGATGGAGCATTTGCACAGATCTTATCTCGTAGTTGGTTGCATGTACAGTAAACCAGCCAATAAAGACTGTAGGATGGACACAACCTGCTCTACTGGTAACTGTAAAAGCCGTAATCAACACATGTCCATTTCCATCATTTCACTGATCTGTGGTACCTTTCAGCTCCTGGAGTGGGCTGAAGAGGCAGAAAACTGTCTGTACGACACTCAAAGAAGATAAAATGCTAATTTCAGCGAGCTGATGGTATCGCCGCCAGTGGTAGTGATTTCAAAATCCACCCGGGATGACGGATTGAGTTTTCATTGCAGGATGTGTTTCTGGTATGGTGACAGAGCTGCCTGTGAAGACCACGCTGCTCTCTTATTTATATGTTTACCAGTCTGAAAATAATTAGAGCAATCAAAGCTCTGGGGCGCGACAGCGGAAAAGCAGGATAAGCCACACTTGTAAAATTACTGAGTCACGTTTCGAGCCCCGGCGGGTCAAATTAATTCGGATGTGGTTGCATCTGGGCAACTGGAATTAGGATAGACGGAGAAGCAAATGTATAAAACAAATGGTGCGCTCCCCTTCAGGAGCACAGCTTCTGACGAGCAGCCAAGTAAAGGCAGTGCACTTTCCAGACATGGTTAGAGATTGGAACGTGTCCTCTCCTTACACTGTTGTCCTCTGGTTATTGATCAGTCGCTCTCGTAACCGTGGTGTAAATGAACGATCCCTGTGCCAAAGGCCGCCCAGTGCTGCCAAGTTACTGGGGAGACTGGAAACAGCCTGTGATCCTTCTGCGCCTCAGTCGGCTAAGTGAGTGTGCGAGTGTGCATATCTGCTGTACGTATTTTATTCTCCCGGCTCCTGCTAATCTCCTGACCCCAGATGGAGAACAGTGGGTGAGCAGATTCTATTTCCTGCTTGATTCAATATTAATAGATCGGCATGCTACTCCGCCACAATCTTTGCAGGGCACAAGCGGAACAGCTCCCACCCTCTCTTACCTTGGCTCTCCGCCTAACAACTGCTAATGCAGGACACCGGGCCCTGTGAACGCAAACAAGGCGCGAGATCGGCCAGGAAAACCGAATAAACAGGGTAACCCGAGCAGGTGTGAAGGACAGGAGCATGGATCCGGTGCCACGGCAATCCGCTGAGAGCTGCCACGCGATAGGTTAAAAGCCCAACTGGGATTAGGGGTAACATGCAGAGTCTGCGGGGGGCATTTTATTAAGCTGCCTCGTTAAATCATGTTCACCTTTATATGAATATCTCTTCTTAATGCTCAGATTATGGCACCTACCGCCCTAAACAGCTGAATCTACTTCTAGTTTCTATACGTGCATGTGATCGGCAAGAACACGAGCTGCCGGCTTCATGTGCAAGAGTTTGGGGAAAATGTAGTGATTGAAAAAGGTAGAGGGAGGAACAAACAAGTCTGTTTTATTCTCAAAAGAATTTGGGTTTTAGTGTGAAAAAACTGCACAGAGATCAGGTTTCCATCTACGTCGATGTTAAAAACAAAGCAGAGCAAATAGCTTCAGTGCATCTTATTGGTCTCATTGTTGGTAGATGAAGGTGTTTTTTTTGTCTGTATGCCAGTTAGTCAGTCCAGCTCAATGTTCCCCCAAGAGAGCATTTTAAGGATATGTATCATGTCCCAAAATGTTCCTACGAGGTTAAACGTTCATCAGGACACGAACAGGGACGTTTACAGGATGTTTGGAGGAAGCCGTCTGGGCCACAGATTATAACAAACGATGAACAAATGCCCACACTCCTCCAACAACCCAACGTCTTTGATTAAACGCTCCTGTATTAACAAAGGCAGAACATTTTGCCTGCTGTGTTCTGAGGACGTCTGGGCTCCTTCATGAAACATTACCAGAATGTTGCTGCTTGATAACAAAGGGAGGATGTCTGCAACGCACGATTTAAAAAGAAAAAAAAAAACGCTAAAAAAATAAGAGCACAACAGTGTTTTTTTTAAAAAAAAACATTACAAGAACTTCCTCGATTGGTTTCTAGAACCAAAACGTTCTGGGTTTATGGATGTGTGACTGTGGATTAATGGATGGTTTGTAGATTAAGTGTTGTGTCCTTTTATGTGAGCATTTGTGCAAATTAATATCAGGATCCTAAAAGGCAAACACATGAGGATCCGGTACCACAGTGATGGATGGACCACAGGGTGCTGGTGCCTTTCATATTCAGACTGCACGCTGAGTGTTAATGTAATTAAAGGACTCTTGGATGTGGATTTGGACAAATACTGGTTGAAGCTAGTCAGTTCAGGCTGCCCAAGACTTCCTACCATGTAAACCTGTCAGACTGCAGCACTTACAAGCTCAGTGTAGGATGAAAACAAGCCTCCCACTTGGTCAATCAAACAGCAGTGCTGGCCAAGCACATACCATTATAGTGGGGGCGGCAGGTCAACAGCCCATACATTAGTGCATCTGTATGACAGCTGCTGAGCCAGGGCTGTACAGTGTGGTGGGGGTCGTCTGGCGGCTATAAATGCATATGAGCAGATCCAGCCACGGTGCATGTCCACAGCTGAGCAGCACCACGTGAAGACGCAGATGAAAAGCTGCATTCATCTTGGCTCTGCTGGAACAGGAGGGGGCACCGTCATTCACCGACATCCCTCATGTGACCGTAAGCTGCTGATGGTGGTCATGCTGATGGAGGAGCTGCCTTCTCGCTTCTGTCAGCCTTGATGCGAGCCAGAGCCGCCGGGGAGGCAGCGGCGGAGACACGCAGCGTCGCTCAGACTTCCACACGTTCGCTCAAGATGGCTTGGAGAGGAGGGGGAGCGCGGTGGTTTTATCGACCTGTCCGCCGCTTCATCTGAGCCTGCCGTTCGTTTCCGACCCGAGGACTCGAAGGAAAAGACAAGGTACCGTCTACAGCCGTGTCGATGCTGCGGGAAACGGCCGCCGCGCCGTGTTTTAGTCGAGCTTTAGGTGAGCTGGTGGTCCGCGGTCCCCCCTCACATCAGCCCGGACCACCTCGGCATTGTTCCGCCGACTTTTGGCACACTCGCCGCTCTTACGTGCCTCCATCCATCCAGCGTGTGCGGACCGTTTCGGAGACCCGTCGCGCTCGTTGTCGTACCTAAAAGCCACGTCTGGACCGCAGCGTTTTCTCCGGCGGCGGCGTGTTGTTACGCCGCGGGCCTGCCGACGGGATCAAGGCACATCTCCACTATGCCAACGTAGCGCTGCTAGCATAGCGGCGGCTAGCCCGAGCTAACGACAACAGTTAGCAGCTCGTCGCTTCGCTTCGCCGTCTCACCGCCTCCGGTTCGTAAAAACAAGAAGAAAGAAAAAAGAAAAGCTTCTCGGGGTTTGCTGTGTTTTTACTTTCGTTTCGTAGCGTGAGGCTTTGAAGTAGAACAAACGTCCAGGTGACACACACCGTCCCCGGAGGCAGAACTTGGGTCGGATTATCGAACCGCAAAGTTCCGTTATGTTCTGCGGCTCTTTGCTAGCTGCCCGACTCGGCTCGCTGTGAAACCGTAAGTAGTCAAATTAACTCGACCGCCGAGTCGAACCGAACACGGCTTTAAATAGGAAGCTTCCGCGGCTGTGGACGGCGGTTGAGTAACGGTTCTGAGTGAGGTGAGCCCCCGCTGTGTGTCGCCGGTCCCGTTACACCGAGACGCGGTCAGTCGGTTGGTTGCTAACGGACACAGTTGTTCTGCTTCCACTGGAGCTCTGTTTGGGTTTTCTTGAATGTACTTTAGCTAACATGTAGCTGGATGGTACCGGGTCGTGGTCTAGTGTTCTGACTTGTTTATGAATGTGTGTCCAGACATAGAGCAGGCGGTACATGCTGCTGAGTGGATCCACAGGTTCGGTCCATCTGAGCTGTTGTTGAGTAGATGGCAGAACTGCTGGTAAATGTCACCGTTAATGTGGACATAGATGTGTACAAATGTGTCACCTAACACAAGCGTTTTCTCAGGTACCTCTGCTGTCCGCTGCTGCTGTGAATACTCACGTTTTTATACCTGTTGTCACTTATTTATTTATTTATTTACATACCTCTGGAGGCTCTACAGACGTCCTGTGTGTCTTGTTTTTATCTTGCACACTTTGTTAATCTATAATTCTTTACACTGAATGGGATGGCACCCAGTTTCGTTTTATTTGTTTTGGTATAGTGACATTAAAATGATTCTGTATGTATGCAGGTGTTTTATGTGTATATATATATATATATATGAAGAGTTCATTTGCAGAAACAGATACCTCCATCCTCACAAACCTTCAGAACTTTTCCATCGTCTACCTGAGACAACATCAGTCAAACTTCAGGTATCTCTGTTGTTGTCGTTTCTACTGAGTCACATCCACTCAGCTTCAGTTTGACTGATATCATCTCCAGCAAACAACAACAAAAAAAAAGTTTTCTGAAAAGCTACAAAAATGGAGTTATCTGATTTTGTAGATGAACTCTTCATATATATATTTATACAGTTTATTTTTATTTTTACAAGGTCATAGTGTCTCGGGGCTGCAGGGTGGC